GGCCCCGGCGGGCCCTCTCGGCGCCCCGCACCTCCCGCGGAGGCCCCGGGGCGGCGCAGGGGCCCCGTCTCCATGGCGACGGAGGGGGCGGGGCCCCTAGGGAGCGGGGTGGGGTCCCCGGTTTCCACGGCGACGGGGGCGCGGGACGTCTTACCCGTTTCTCCGCGCGGGGAGGAGGAGGAGGAGAGGGGGGACGGGAGAGGGGAAGAGGAGGAGGCCGCAACGGCGTCTACGGCTCCGCGTCTCTCGCTCCTTCCTCCTCTCGCCGCTTGTTTGTGTTTGTAACCAAGATGGCCGCTCTCCTCCCGGTCACGTGACGCGGGCTCAATGCAGGCTGCGAGAGGGGTCACGTGCAGGGGGAGCAGCGACAAGACGCCGCGCAGTCGCAATGCACGATTGGCGGCCGCCTTCGCCCCCACAGTCCCTTTACAGGCGCTGGGCATGCGCCTGCGTCACGTGATCTCACCTTGTCGCAAGCGCTGCTCCTTTCCCCGTCCGGAGCGCTGCCGCTATTCAAAGAGAAGGGCGCTGCTGCCTGTCACGTGACGGAGAGCCCTCGCATTCCTTTGCTGAGCCCGTCGGGTCCGCCCCCTGGTCACGTGCCCTGAACCGGGTAGGCCCGAACTCGCCACTGGCGTCCGGGCTAGATTGGTCGATGACGTCATGGGGCATCTCGGCGTGACGTCAGCAAATGGTTTGCCCTCTCAGGGCTAATGAAAGACTGGCTAAATCGGTAGATGGGCAAATGCAGGCAGTCCGTTCCCGTTCTCTTTCCGGGCTTGCCCTGCCCAAGTGCTGGGCAGGAAGTCTGGTTGAAAGAGTGTTTCTGGGCATGGCCAGAGCGACCTGCCCTCCCCGAGACTCGGCTGCAGGCCAGGCCGATGTCATTGCCCTTCCTCTCCCTCCCGCGTGCTACATTTCCTCCTCTCCGTGTCCCTGTGAGCTCGGTGCGGCCGAGGCAGCGACTGGATGCTCTGGCCAACGGGCACCGGGCCCCCCGGCCCCCACGGCCCTGCTCTGGCGTTCTTCGCTACTGCCCCACATGGCTGGCTGAAGGGCAGCCTCCATGCCAGACACGGGGGCTTTGGGAACTCCCTTGGAGATCCCACGGCCCCTCAGAGCTTCTAGCAAAGGTGGGAGAAAGCAAGCAAAACAAGCCACTCCGTGGGGCCGAGAAGAATGTGGGGCGTGCCGTGGGTGCTCCAGAGGGTTCGCGAAGGGCAGTGGCGTTGTCCTGTGCCGCCTCTGAGGTGAAGGCTAAAGGAGGGCCCAGGCCACAGCCGTCCAGTGCCGAGGGAAGACGCTGCCGTGGGCCCCGACTTTCCAGTGGGGCCTCTTCTCTCCAGTGCTTAAAAATGGGGAGGCGAGAACTTCCCAAGTGCCCCAGGTTTCCCACAGAGAAGGGGGCCAGAGCCTCCTTTCTCTCATCCCAGACTAAGGACACAAAATAAAAGGCTACATTACAGAAAGGCATACTTCAGTTATATATCCTGGGTTATTTTATGGAATGTGCTCCCCAGAGAGATCCGCCTGGCGCCGTCGTTTTTCGGCACCAGGCCAAGACCTTTTTATTTAAATGATATGATATTTTAAGAATTGTTGATTTTATTTATTGGTTTTAAATTATTGGCCAGGATGTTTCCAGATTTTATATGTATTTGTATAGATATTTATTTATATGTTGGAAGCTGTCCCGAGGCTTATGCGAATGGGACGGCATACAAAAATTCCAAATAAATAAATAGTTTCATGTCATGCTCACCACTGTCTCTCAGGCTGTGACTGGGGGAAGTGCCGAGTCCTCCACCTAGGAAAAAGACACCAAATGCTCAAATACAAAATGGGGAAAACGTGGCTCAACAGAACTGAACAAGAAAAAGATCTTCAAATAATTGTGGATGATAGGCTAAACATCAGCCAACATTGTGATGTAGCCACGAAAAGGGCAAATGCCATTTTGGGATCCAGTAAGAGGAGTGTTACTTCCAAATCACGAGAAGTAGTAGTTTCCCCATACAGACCTCACCTGGAGTCCTGTGTCCAGTTCTGGGCACCAAGATTTCAGAAAGATGCAGGTAAATTAGAAAGGGTCCAGCGGAGGGTAGCAAAAATGATCAGGGTTTGGAAACGCTGCCCTGTGAGGAGAGACTGGGAGAACTGGGCATGTTCAGCCTTGAGGAGAGAAGGTTGAGGGGGATATGAGATCTCTCTAGAAGGACCTCAAAGGCTGTCACAGAGGAAGGTCAAGGTCTCTTCTCGCTGATGCCAGAGTGCAGGACACTGAATAATCAATTCAAGTTGTGGCAACCCAGATTCAGGCCGGACATCAGAAAAAATTAGAAAGGATCCAGAGGAGGGCAACACGGATGATCTAGGAACTGGAAACAAAGCCCTGTGAGGAGAGATTGAGAGAACTGGGCATGTTCAGCCTTGAGAAGAGACAGCTGAGGGGGGACATGATACCCCTCTAGAAGTACCTCAAAGGCTGTCACAAAGAGGAAGGTCGAGATCTCTTCTTGTTGATGCCAGAATGTGGGACACGGAATAATTCAAGTTGTGACAACCCGAATTCAGGCCGGACGTCAGGAAAAGCTTCCTCACGGTCAGAGCAATACGACAACGGTGGGACCAGCTGCCTGGAGGGGTGGGGGGCTCCCCCACACTGGAGGCTTTCAGAAAGAACCTGGGCAGCCCTCTGAGTGGGGTGGTGTGAGGTGTCCTGCAACAGCAGGGGGTGGACTTGATGCCCTTCCTGGCCCCTTCCAGCTCTGCTCTTCTGTGATTCGCATAGTGCCCATGCTGCAAAGCAGGCCTACTGTTCTGCGGTGGGCGGGATGGAAGGAAGTGGTGCATTTGCTTATCAGCACAACCTTTGTTATGACCTGGGTGGTTCTCCTGGAAACAAGCCTTATCTTGTGACGCTGGCCAGGGTTTCCCCAGCTCCACCCTGGGTCCAATGGGCCCGTCTTTAGTGTGGAAAACAAGGAGGAGTCTTGTGGCGCCTTCAGGACTAACCCGACTGTGTGACCTGGGCATGCCAGAGATCCGCCATGCTTCTTGGGGCAGTGGGCACAGAGAGCCACGGCAACGGGGGTCCTGCGAGCCGGGACCGAGCTGCAAAGCGGGGGAGAGGTGGAGGGAGGGCAGGGGGAGAAAGAGAGCACGGCTGGAGGCCTGAAGGGGAGAAAAGAGGGCCCCCGCAACATTTTCAGTGGGTCGGGGGAAAGCCCTTTGGGGATGGCCCTGGAGGACCCTGGCATACAGCCTCTGGTGGACCCACCGCTGGCCACAGATTCAGGCTCAAGGAACGCTTCCCAGTGGCACCTTCTCAACCTGGGGAAAGGTGACAGGGTGCCGCAGGGTTTCGTGCCGGCCCGGTGCTCCTCAGCGGACAAGGAAGAACATGGAAAGATAATTACATTTGGAGATGACACTAAACTGGGTGGAGTGGCAAATACCCTGGGAGACAAGAGATAAGAAACAGGGTTAGAACACTGGGCAGAGAATCACAGAATTTCAATTAATAGGGACAAAGGCTATTTTGGGCTGCATGAACAGAAGCGTCACTTCCCACAAATGTGAAGTACTCGTTCCGTTATATTTGGCACGAGTCGGTCCTCACTTGGAGTGCTGTGTCCAGTTCTGGGCTCCCAAATTTTGAAAAGACGCAGAAAAGCCAAAAAGGGTAGAGAGATGGGCAACAGAGATGATTCAGGGAATGGGGGCTGAGCCCTATGAAGAGAGATTGGGGGAACTGGGCATGTTCAGCTTCAAGGGGAGAGGGGAGAGGAGAGCACCCTACAAATACCTCAAAGGCTGCCACAGAGAGGAAGGACATGACCTCGTCTTGTTCAGTCCAGAGCGCAGGGCATGGAATGACAGAGTTAAATTAAAAGAAACCAAATTTAGGCCAGACCCCGGGAATAATTTCCTGACAGAGCAGTTGACAATGGACCCTTTTGCCTGGGGAAGCTGTGGGCTTTCCTTCCCTGGAGACGTTCAAAAGGTGTTTGGACACCCATCTAAACGGGATGGAGTAACTGGTGTCCTGCAAGAGCTGACGGCTTCCTGGCCCCTCCAACTCGACCATGATGCCATGATTCCTCGAGGGCATCCATCTGGAATGCCTTCCCCAGTGAGACCTACCTGGCACCAGCCTTGTCATCTATCGGGCACCAGGTATGGACTCTCCTCTCCTCCCAGGTGTCGGATAGCATATGTGAAGGACTGCCTGTTCGCTGTTTAAAATTACTCTATTTTTGTGCATTGGTTTTGTCTTTCTGTCTTGCTGTCTTAATCTTTGTAGAAACATAGAAACAGAGCAAGTCAGAAGGGGTCTCCCGAGCCACCTAGTCTGACCTCTGGCACCAGCCGGCTCCGCTCACGACATGCCCACCATGTGGACGTCCAGCCTGTCCTTGAACACCCGCACCGATGGGGCCTCAACCATCTCCTGTGGAAGCCCATTCCACACCCTCGGGGTCCTGACTGTCAGGAAGTGCTTCCCAGCATCCAAATTGAACCTGGGTTCCCTGAGCTTTGCTCCGTTGGAGCGCATCCTGCCTTCCTCTGCCGGGGAGAACAGGTCTCTGCCCACCTCCTCTGACACCCCCTCACATGCCTGTATGTCGCCAACAGATCCCCTCTGAGTCTCCCCTTCTCCAGGCTGAAGAGACCCGGTTCCCTCAGTCTTGCCTCATACGGCCTCCCCTGCAAGCCGGCCACCAACCTTGTGGCCCTGCGCTGCACTGACTCCAACCTGGCTATATCCTTCCTGTAACGAGGGGCCCGAAACCGAGCACAATACTCCAGTTGCGGGCGCACCAGAGTCATATGGAGTGGTAGTAACACCTCTCTCGATCTAGATTGTAACCTGCTGGAGTTTTCCCTGTGGAGCATCATGGATGCTCAGCCAGTGAGACGCACTGCAGGTGCAGGTGGGCCGCCAGGCCGCCAAGGGTGCCCCCCCCTCGCTCTCCTGCAAGCGCAGCCTGGGCTTCCTCCCCGGGTGAAGCGGTCACATTTGCAAGTTGTCTTCTATAAATAGAACCAGGTTGTCCTTTCACCTGGACCTTGGGAAGTGCCAGGACCCGCTGCTGGCAGGAGGCACCCTGACGCAAGCGCAGGTGAGCTGCGAGCTGGAGACGGGCATGCAATCTCGTGGGTGGTGCGACAGGGCCCGGGTGCTGGCATGCCATAAACATTCCCTGCGGAATACCTCCGCCCCCCTTTCTCGGATCTTTGCCCGGTGCCTCTCCCCACAGAAACGTGGGT